TCACCGACAGGTTTTCCGAGCTGTCGGCCGTGAATGCCTTTGCCGAAGGGGTCCTACCGTTGCTGCGGAGCCGCCTCCCCCCTCTCAGCGCCTTTCTGGGGCCGGGGTCTCACCGTGGGCTGAGGGACGAGGCTGGAGGAGGGGCAGCCCGTGGGGCGGGCAGGCGCCATCTCCCTGCGGGCCTCCCTCTCTCCCCCAAAACCGCGTGTGGCTCCTTTTTTTCCCCTTTTTATCAAAACGGGGACAATAGCCAACATCTTGTGCAAGGTGTCAGATCCCAGTTAGGCTAGTTATGCTTATTGGTACAATGGGTTTAGTTATGCCCTATTTTTGATTGTGTTGTTTAGGCTGGAAAGTTGCTTCCTGCTGGCGGTGTGGCTACAAGTTGCCTCACGGAGGTTTTACCCAGGGTGAGATGGTTTTTCAGATGCTCCTTGTGAAACTCTTGTAAGGATTTCCCATTAGTGACTGTGCTTTGAGACATGCCCTAAAAAAAGAAAGAAAAGCAGTGAAACCTTGGTCATTTTTTCTACATCTCTTCTCTTTAGAAACGACTTCTTTTTGATGTTAGTTTTTCTCACATGGGATCATAGAGAATAGCTGGTAGGATTGTAAAACACTTCTGCAGTTCTTTTGCACTCTGCCTGTTTTACAAAATTCACTGTGCCTGCTTAGATGGGACTGATAGAATTGGGTTAGACAGTTGTTTTTTTTTTTTTCTGGTAATACAATTATAGTGATTATTATGATGAATTATTATTACTTCTGATGGTGGTCCTTCATCTTTACAAGGATGCCCTTCAGAATTGTGCTTCCCACTGGCCCTTCCCTATGCCCCTGAAGAGCCAGAGGGTACTGTGACACAAATGGATCCCTTAAATAGTGGCTCTACCTTTAAATAGATAATTAAAAAATGAAACAAAACTGTCGTGAAAGTGATTTTTGAAATTGCTTCATTAATGGTGGAATTGTTGTGAATCAGGTTAAAGGTTTCTGAAGTTGAGAGCTGTAACATTTGCTTTCCATTAAGTATACCTGAAGAAACTGTTATCCGTCTTAAAGATGGAAGCAGATGGCTGAAACTTAGCAACTCTTTTGTTACTTCTGTTGCTGGTTTGATAAAATTTAGGCTGGGCTATGTTGACCTTATGCTCAGAATATTAGCATCTGCAGGAGCATATGCACATGTTGCAGTGCTAGAATGTCCTTATATTTTGTTCTTACCTCTGTGGAATCACACTGAAATGGCGGCAGTACATTTTCTTTTCATTAATATTTCGTGAATATCTGGCATAATATTGTTTTTGCTTTGCCTTATGTAAACTTCATTACTCCAACTACTGTATGACAGTTTTGAAATACAACAAATCCAGCTCCTGGTGTTGAAAGAATATTCTACGGCAGAGCAGATGATCTTGACATTGCAGCTCACTTGACACAGGACATTGAGTCACATTCTTCACTCAGTGTAAGAATGTGACTCGTTTCCTTTTGTTTAAGAATGGACCGCTTAAGAATGTCTTTAATAAGAGCAACCGATTTCTTCATAGTCTGGGGTAAAGGTACGTAGCTGAGTGATTTAAACTGCAGCATTTCACCACTGTTGTGGATTATTTGGATTCTAAGGTCAATTAATAGGATTTAATTAGCGTGATTGAAATGGGAAAACACGTGAAGTTCAGTGACTTTTATCAGTGACTCAACATTTGCAATGACTACTGAATTATTCATTTCATTTCATTTCAACATTTAAGTTTAATGAACAGTCTTCTACCCACAGATTTTGCTGCTTTCTTCTTTACTGATCACAGAGGTAAAACCTGTTGAGCTCTTAGCAAGAGAACTGCTATCTGAGAATGTGCTTATAGTTCAATGTAATTATTGTGTGTTCTTTCTTACCTTTGGGTTGAATCTGATTTTGATAGCTAAAAAGTGATGTTTTGGATATGTCAGACTATTTGGTGTCTATTCTTTACTTCAGAAAATATTTTTGTAATCTGTAATGAAACAACTGAAGAGGTCCTTGGTGATTTTATCACATAATTATTGTTCAAATCTCTAAAAATAACAGTTGTGTTGGTAAGAAACACTTTTATGATGCATTTCATCAGCTGGGCTTGTAAATAAATAGTTTTCAATTTTACAAATGAAGAATTTGAGGCAAAGAGGAGTTCAGGTCTCAAAAATAAGTCTTTAGGTTGAACCACATAAGTCCTGATATTAGAGGGTGTTGTGTTGAGCAGGACATTTATTAGGCATATCCAAACTGAAAAAAAAAATCAGGTTCCTGATGTCCCTTCTCAGAAGTTTTATGTTGAATGGATTGATTTGTTTAGCCTGTACTGTCTGTTGAAGACTGTTTCACTTTGCTGTATTAATTAAATATTAACTGAAGGAACAGTTGGAACGTGAGTTCAGTAGGTGTGGGTTAGCATCAATTGTATTTGCTACTACTTTTTTCCATATTTCTTTATAACAAGAGTCTAATAATAAACTCTCTCTAGAGTCTCCATTACTTTGATGGGTAGCTTGAAAAATCAAATTATTCGGGAAGATCAAAATACACTGTTTTGAGATTTTTGAAACTTTTTTGTTTTGGAGGGAGATTTTTTTTTCCCCTCCAAGTTGACCAGATTTTACAAGTAACTTCTACTGACCCAAGCCCAGTGTGTACATTGAGGAAAAAAAAATTTTGTCCAACCAAGTGCTAAGCTTTGAAAACCCTGCTGAAGTAATTTCTGTTGGTATGTCATTTTAGGATGCAATACTAGCGTGTATCTTGAAATATCTTTAAATTCTGCATCAGCAGAATTGGGAGTAGCTGTTTAGAGAATAGATAGTCTTAACTGCTAGACCATAGATGTTTTTAATCATAAGCACCAGGAGACTTCGTTCCAAAGATGTTATAACTATAATCATTTTCACACTTAAATTTTGGGCATATTAACATTTGACATGTCGCTCTGCATGTCCATGGGTTTCCCGAGCTTTGGGAACCCCCTCTTCACTCCTCAACTCGCGCTCAGCTGCTGAAGTTACCATTGCTGCCGCTGTGCTTCTCACCCACTGGGTCTTTGACATGGTCCCCCACAACATCCTTCTCTCTAAATTGGAGAGATATGGATTTGATGGGTGGACTCTTCAGTGGATAACCAATTGGTTGGATGATTGTATCGAGAGGGTAGTAGTCAATGGCTTGATGTCTAGATGGAGATTGATGACAAGTGGTATTCCTCAGGGGTCCATACTGGGACCAGTGCTGTTTAATACCTTCATCAATGACACAGACAGCAGGATCAAGTGCACTCTCAGCAAGCTTGCAGATGATGCCAAGCTGAGTGGTGCGGTTGATGTGCCTGAGGGGTGGGATGCCATCCAGAGGGACCTGGACAAGCTTGAGAAGTGGGTCTGTGTGAATCACATGAGCTTCAACAAGGTCAAGTGCAAGGTCCTGCACCTGGATTGGGGCAAACCCAGGTATCAATACAGGCTGGGGGACGATGTGGTTGAGAACAGCTCTGTGGAGAAGGACTTGGGCGTACTGGTAGATGAAAAGTTGGACATGACCTGGCAAGGTGCGCTGGCAGCCCAGAAAGCCAACCCTATCCTGGGCTGCATCACAAGCAGCGTGACCAGCAGGTCGAGGGAGGGGATTCTCCCCCTCTACTCCGCTCTGGTGAGACCCCACCTGCAGTACTGCCTTCAGCTCTGGGTTCTTCAGCAGAAGAAGGACATGAACATGTTGGAGCAAGTCCAGAGGACGGCCATGAAGATGATCCAAGGGCTGGAGCACCTCTCCTGTGAGGACAGGCTGAGAGAGTTGGGATTGTTCAGCCTGGAGAAGAGAAGGCTGCGGGGACACCTTAGAGCAGCCTTCCAGTACTTAAAGGGGGCTTATAAGAAAGGTGGGGACGGACTTTTAGCAAGGCCTGTTGCAACAGTACAAGGGGTAATGGTTTTAAACTAAAGGAAAGTAGATTCAAACTAGATATGAGAAGGAAATTTTTCACACTGAGGGTGGTGAAACACTGACACAGGTTGCCCAGAGACGTGGCAGATGCCCCAGCCCTGGCAACATTCAAGGTCAGCCTGGACAGGGCTCTGAGCAACCTGATCGAGTTGAAGGTGTCCCTGCTCATTGCAGGAGGGTTGGACTAGATAACCCATAAAGGTCCCTTCCAACCCAAGGCATACTATGATTCTATGGCTATAGTTTCTAATATACATTAAGAAAAGAAAGGCTGCAGTCTGAAATTTTATAAATTAGCAAGTGGAAAAACTCGCATAAAAGTAAAAGGTTCTGTCTCACAATATGTATTTTCTTTAGCTGGAGATTTAGCATCGCATTGATTATTAGTGGTGTTCTCTCAACATACAGTTTTGTTTTGCAACTTGGTAGATAAAATTATGTCAGTGTAATCATATAAGATCTCATTAGAACACTTATGATCAAACTTTTTGTTTGTGTGTGTGTGAGGGTGTAGCCATATTGATGTGTGAATGATTATATGTTGCTGGTTTTCTTGCCTCTTGTGTTGTTTGTGATGTCTTTGGGCAGCATTGTTGATAAATTCACTTCCAAAAACTAGACATTTCAAAAAAATACAAGACAAAAAAGAAGCAATCTGCTTTCGTAATCATCAGGCATCCTTAGGCACATCACATGAGCAATATTCCATGTTACCTAGGGGCTTGGATAGAATTACTACTACATTTGGAACAAAAGTTATCCAAGGTAGGAAAATTTAGTGTTAAAACATATTTCTTCTAAATTCAAGATAATCTGCAATTTAGTATCTAGCACATATTCTATGCTTTCAGCAATTCTAGCTTAATAGAAAAGTAGTTGTTATAGTAGTTACTGAAAGGTGTAAAAATGTACTGGTATTTTTCAGTTACAATGAAGAAACAAGCAGCTGAGCACATTTGGTAACTAGTAGGGCTTTTGCCTCTGTTCCAGATCTGTCTTTGTAGATTTCCCTGGAGAACTGTTTAGGTAGCTGACAACTCACCTTCCTTTTTCCAACTAGTCTAATAGTTCTAGTATCTAATAAAAGATACTACCCTGGCCTGTGAATCTTTCCTCTGTAGACTGGAGCAGATCACATATGTGTTGACCGTGTAGCTCTTGCATCAGTACATTCATCTCAGTTTCTCTGTTGTTTTTTTTTTCCCTAGTCCCATGTCATTATGGTGTAAGATTCCTATAAATTGGCTAGAAAGGTGGTAAGAGGTATCATTCTTCTGCAGCATTAGCATCTTCTCTTACAAGATATTGTTTAAAATTAAGAACCAACCAAACAGAACACCCATTCCCCTTACCTTCCCCAACCATGTATTTATTCCTTACTTTCCAGATATATCAGCTGGAGAGCTTATAAATCCACCAAAAACTTCTGAGGAAGTGGATAAAGAAGCCAGAGAAGGACGTGATCTGTACATTGTGTCACACAATGATTATTATGTGGGCAAGTTCAAAGACTGATAAGAAACTGCATAAAAGGTGCTAATATAAATAAAGGTAATTTTTCTTCTTTGTGTCTTCAACACATATTGTATGCTCTTTTTTGAGATATAAATTGTTACCTTTTATTACTGTATTAATATAATATACATTCTTTTTAAAAGTAGTGATGTGAAAAAAAATACATTGTATGCAGCTGAGAGATCATGACCTGTTTCTAGAACTGTAGATCAATTTGTGGTGGTTTTATTAGTATAAGAATTTACTGAAGCAATTGGAAGACTGATTCTGGAGATATTCCTTCTCTGGAGATGTTCAAAACCTGCCTGGACGTGTTCCTGTGCAACCTGCTGTAGTGAACCTGCCTTGGCAGGGGGTTGGACTAGATGATCTCCAGAGGTCCCTTCCAACCCTGACCATTCTGCTATTCTGTGATTTCTTTTGGGTGCTATTTGAAAAGCAAAATATTTCCAGGAAACTAGAAACTCATAGATGCCCTGGTTGCTTATTGAGTTTGGCAGTCTATGCCACTGAAAGCAATCTCAGGCTTAAAGCCACAGGCTGTGAGCCCAACCCATTACAGTACTTTCACCTCTGGTTCCTCTCTTTTTCACAAGGATCCAAACAGAATTTCAGACTAGACTTTCTGATGGGGAGCTCAGCACCAAGCTCTGGTTACAAGGAGTTTCAGGCTTCTGACTGGCTCTCTGGGATGCAGGTTCCTCAGCCTACAGCATCATGCCTGTGAATCTGTCCCACTGCTGCTGTCTCTGCCCTTCCAGTGGGCTGTTCCTCTGCTGCTTCAGCTTCTGGGGGCTGTACTTCTCTGAAGTGGTCTGCTCGGGGATGGTTACCCTTTATCTCATAGGTCTGCAGAGGAACAGAGTGACAGATAGCACTCTGAAATGCAGTACACGTATTACTTTTGCAGCCACTTCTATTTTTCCCAGTTCCATCATTTCCCCTTGGGCTGAGAGACTTACTTTTGCTGCTCTGTAGGATTAGTATTATAATAAAATTGCCCGTTGTGCTAGTACCAACAGTTTTGTAGGTGTAGGCCAAACGTGTAAGAAACTGCGATACAGATATTTCGGTTGTAATAATGTAAATTTTGTATGGAGGCCGTTACATAGAAGTGAAATTATAGTATTGTGTTCTGTCACTGAGAAATTCAGTTACAAGTACTATTGGTATAAATTGGCCAAACTTGTAATTTTATTTCCTCTCTTCCTCACCTTTCTTAGATGTTTTAATGGAATTATTCATTATCTGTTTCTAACTCATTTGTAACTTCTGTCCACAAGACCATGGAGAGGCCAAGCCGAAAAGAGACAGACAGGAAAAAAAAAATCAACTATGTGCCCCAGTTTTGAACAATAACATAAAAATTCCATGCTGCCATACAGCCAGAGGAAGCCCTTACTAGAAAACATGCAGTGAATAATATTTTTTGAAAGTTCTAATTGCCATTCTTTTCAAAAGGTGATTGAAAAGAGCTTGAAGAAACAGAATGACTTTTTCTTTCTGTGACAAGAAACATGTGCTTGCAGCTCACTTACATAGAGTGCTTAGGTGATATTCTTGTATGTCAAACTTCATTTTATAGGCAAGACTGGATTAATAGATTCATGAATAAGTAGGGTAATATCTTGATTACAGTGTAGTCAGTGGCAAAATTTCCAGTGAAGTCAACACAGCAAGAGTATATCTGAAAGTGCAGCACCTCAAAAACATTTTTTTCCTTTTAACTTTTTTTTTTAACAAATAGTAAATTAAATGTTACATGTCTCTGCTCAAGTGTGGACATTATAAAGTAATTTGTTTGCATGACCCTCACTACTTAGGCTACCTGGTATTTTTTCATTAGTTCTGTTAGGCTTCTCTTTAGTCAGATATAAAAGGACATCCAACTCTTTTACCACTGAAGTAGTTTTTGCTTTTTATTTTGCCTCTTAGCTTCACTTTTGACAGTGAGATTATTCCTAACTACTTAATAAACATAGAGAATGCAAATTAGCTCTCTTTAATTGAACAGAATTGTTAATTAGTTATTTGCTTTTGTTTCTTCATTGTTTTGTCGTAAGGATGAAGATATTTAGTACATTTTTTTACTGAGGTGTTTTATACAGGTTGAAATGCTCACTTTTTCCACAGGGGAGGCAATAAATAGGAAGTACCACTCACCAAACTTCAGCAAGTCTTTTGTTTATGGAACAGAAACCCCTCACTTTAAAGATGGACAAAGTGTATCCAAATCCTTAAATTGGCTCTATGATCTGCAATCGTAAATTGCAATGAGTTAACTACTTAATTAGTCTTGTGAGTTCTCAGGAAGAGTGAGTTTGAAGATGATTTTGCATCTCACAATCCCATCCTTAGCTATACTGAACTGAATAAAAAATGCAAGGAGTAATTTTCAGAGCAGTTTATCCAAATCAGTTCTACCAGAGTATAACAGCACTTGACATGTCTTTAGCATTACATAAAGACACTTTTGATTTTAAATAGCGAGATATTTCAAATACTAAATTTGTGTTTGTCTTGCACAGGAGTTGCTGTTTCCTTCTAACATATAATAATGTTTTTTAATATTATTGAAAAATTGTTGAATATTGTTAAAAAATATGAGAGTTATTTTCAGAATTTGTAGGAAGAGAGCAGCAAAATCGTGTCAAAACAAAGTGATGATTTCAAAGAAAAATTTCAGCCTCAGCTTGGAAAAGTCCTTGACCCATAAGTAAGCAAAGATAGCTTCCAAGAACAAAATTCACTCATGTTTGTGAAGTCTCCAATGTCTTTTTCTGCCTTGGGTAAAAATTATAACTGTGCACTCAATGCTTCCACTGCATCACTCAGTTACAGAGAGGGTCTTTCTACTTACTTTAATTAGGCTGAGAAGTACGCAAGTTATTAATGAGGGCTGTATTGTGTCTGTGTGGTGAAGTTAAGACTTACCGTTTAAATGGTCTGTATCTGAATTAATAGAATTTGCACGAAGCAAATTACAAGCACACTGTAACACTTAATTATTTTTTTTTTCCTGTCTTTGGCAGTTAGGAAGGTTTGAAAGAACTGAAATGTCTCACCTGTTGTTTGGAGATTTGACTATTTTGCTTACTCTGACACTATTTTTGGTCATCTTTGTTATATCACCTGTATTCTCACTTTATTACTTCCTTGGAAAAGGACATGGAACTAAATTCTGTTATTATCTAGCACCATGTGTCAATCTCAGTTGAATCATTACGATGCTTCATACTTTACGATACTTTACGGTTGGACTTGATGATCTTTGAGGTCTCTTCCAACCATAATGATTCTATGATTCATAAACCTGAAACAGCTTTTTAATTTTACAAAAGTGCTTATGAAAGGCTACAGTAGTCCTAAGGCACAGTGTGGTAAGGATCCAGCTGTGCTACAAATCTAGGGTTCCTACATGTATACAAAGACTGTCTTTGCAGATGCTCTAGATTTCTGCAAAATTGTATCTGAAGACTCACAAACAACATTATTAACTTTGGTAGCAAAATTTAATTTTAAGCTCAAGATCACAGGCTTAAGTGACTCTGGAGAACTAAGCCCATAGTACCTGTAAGGAGTGAACACAAATGTGAACCAGTTTCTCCTCTCCCCTTCACTGTGTCCTAGCTTGATGTGAAGCAGACCTGGAGCATGAGCAGCATAAGGCAATATGATCAGTCAGGGAATATGAGTTGCAGTGCATGCAAAACCCAGCACTAATATTACAAGACAGATACAAGCTAACCTGATTTTATTTAGTGAATTTTACACCGTCCACATCCTATGTGTAATATGAAAATGGTAAGAGAAAAATGCTTCCATCTCTGTGTGTTTTTTCCTGTGTATTTTATATTTTAGAACAAAGTACTGATGCTCTTTTCAATTTTGATGGAGATTTCTGATTCATGTAACAGTTTTAATTATTAAACATAGAGATAAAATGAACATTGCATCTTTTTCAAATTAAGAAATAAACAAACAGTTCATTAATGTCACCAGCAGCATCTTAATTTTCTGATAAATAAGATTGGGCCAAGTTTTCCAGATGGATATTGGCTTAGTTGCTGGTTTTGGTAGACACAAAATTGCATGTGAAAAAGTAGAGATGTGATTCAATTTTTCCACTTTAGCCAAAAGTAGTTTATTTGGAGACATTATTTCAGCTGGAGATCTGGTTTGTCCTAAATATTCCTATCATTTGACTAGTATGTTATAAGGACTTTTCTCACTCACTTCTGTCATTGTCTTAGAAAAAAAATATTCCAGCATAGAATGTTTTTCCTTTTAATGAATGTAAATATTGCAAAAGTTAATGTTTAGATTTGGTTGTCTACATTACAAACAGCAAATGTTCTAAACAGGTTTATAAAGGGATGCTTTTCTGGAATGGCAACTTTGAAACAAAGTACTGATAAACAAATTTCAGGTGAACTATGTATATCATCTGTAATTATAAAACAGATGATCACTTTTTTTTTTTTTAATAATAGCGCAAGGTTTATTTTGGCTATTAAGAAACTATTTGACAATTAACAAAGAAATGTGCTTATTGACAGTATAGCAGAAACAATGAATGTTCCCCGAGGCCATACATTTGGAATGTTACTCTGTCCAGATGAATATAGTAAGTTCAGGGGCAGAATAAAATCTTACCTTGTTGGTGAAACTATGCCGAAATAATTACTGTTGGTTGTATAGTATATAGTTTTCCTAAAATCTTAGAAGCAAGATACAAAAATTTAATGGTGACAGAAATTTGAGAAGGATTTAAGTTGCTAGTGGGAAAAAAATGAATGTCGGAAATAAAGAAAGTTCAATTTTTGGATGATTATATTGGGGTTTTTTTGTTTGTTTTTTTAGCCTTTGTGTCTGAATGTAAACAAAAAGGGAAATGGCAGAAAACTCATATTGACATCTAAGTGACACAGTTAAAATGGCTGTTTAAATCAATTATGTGTCTTTCCAGCACTTCTATAAAAAGACTAAAAATAACAAGTAATACATAAGAATAATAAGTTTTTGAAGGTAGCAGGGAGACAGAAAATGGAATGAAAATTAAAAATTAGTAATTTTCATTATGACAAAATTTTGAAAGCTAGTCACCTCAAATAGTCAATGTTGGGATTGATGGTGTTTTAACATTATGTTTAATAACTAGGGAGTACAGTGAATAACTAGGCTCAAAGTTAGTTAATTAGTCAAGACCAGAGAAGGCTTGTTCAAATTCTGCATAAACTTTTATACATGCTTTACTATGTAGTGTAATGAAATTAAGTATTTTAAATGTGTAGGTATACTTGTCCTATAATGAACAGCAGAAGGAACTGAACAAAAAAATTCATTATTAACAAGTAGAAAGATATTAAGATGTTTCAAAATTTTGGATATTAACTGCATGTGAGTAGAGAAATCATCACATGGACCATTTGATCTTTTAATGAAATGGCCATATCAGATGTTCAGCAATGCTGAAAATCAGCATCTCAAAACTAAAATTCTCGTTTTCCTTGATTCTGTAGGCCATTAAAAAAATAATGTCTATTTTCTGAATATGAACAGCTAATTAAGGAAGTGTTTATTTTTATAGGAGTTGGTGGTCATCTTCACTGCTGGGTTCCATGTGAGTTCCTCCATGGTAAAGACAGAGAGAGAGAGCTGTCTTCACTGCAGTTCAGCAAAGTTTGAAGAAAGGTAACTATGAGAATTTTGACATGTTACTAGAAGCATTCAGGCATTATGATAAGGTTAGTGCTTTGAAAAAGTATAAATGTAAAGGAATGTGTGACATTAGTGCTCCTGGGCTATGGAGATACAGACATGAAGAAACATAAGCACAGCAAGGCAGATATAGATGAAGACTATAAAGACAAGGTAACTTCATGGTTATTGTATGTTTAGTCTACTGTGATATGCTATGGAATTAAACACGACAGTATGTGGAGCCTTTCACAACAGTATTTGGAACATACAAGTTAACAGCAAGCAGCGGACCTGTGAGCAGGAATAATCTTAGCATTTTTTGCTCTTCAAAATTTGCTATTTCATCTTAAAAGAAAAACGGTTGAAGCGATTATGTTCACATTTTCTTCCAAGCTGTGCTTTTTGACTGAGTCACCGAACATCAGAATTTCAGATCTTTTCTTTTTTTCTCTCTGGAAAAAAATTAATAATTGACACTTCATATATAACATTAATTGTAATGTATATAGAATGATTGATGCCTTACTTTCAAAAGAAATCTTGGCTTTGCCTCAACATTTATGACTAGACTGTTATCTTGTCACAATACCCTGTCACACTCTTTTACTCTCAAATCACTGTATTATTTAAGTTGAAAATTATTTATTGACACTTTTATATTCAGATTTTTAATTTCTAAATTACTCAGGGTTTCTTTTTGTACTCAGCAATGTTACTCTTCTGAAATGGTGTGCCTGGTGCTACATATATGTATATATATGTGTATATGTAAAAGCACATATGTGTATGTGTTCCTTTTGGTGGAGCCTTTTTATAATGGCTGTTAGTCTGTAATGTGCTGATAATAAATCCTGGCTGTACCATAACTTTTGTTTGTATTAAGCTAGATACTCCTGTTCTGCCTGAAGACACAAAGAGAAATGATAAGCCACTGCTGAAGCAGGAAGATCTTGTGTTAAAAGAACCGGGAATCTCAGAAAAGACACCAAGAACACTTAGAAGATGAACAGATCATATATTTGCAAATTATCAAACAACAACTTCTCAGTATAATGCTGTAGTAGGTGGTCTCCCAACAACCTGTAAGTACACTGGACTGTACTTCTCACTTCCAAGCATTATTTAAGACAAAATTAGGAACAAGTTTAAAAAGTATTGCTACAGGTTTTACTAATATACAATAGTGAATTAATTTCTCTAAACTAAGTTTGTTTAGGACTGTGGCTTGGAAGTTAGCATGGCTTCAACATTTGGCATGCTTAATCCATTCAAAATGTGAAAGTTAATCTAGATGTCTTTGAGAAATTATGCTAGTAATTTTAGGAGAACAATATCTTCTTGAAATCACCTAAAAATGTTTTCAGCTGGAAGTACTGGAATATTACTGTCAGATTTTTCTGTTGTCACCCTTCATGATGTAGCTGAAGCTAGGAATTTTAAAAATACGAAAAAAGAGATGAGGAAGAAGGGTTCAATAACAAGTTATGTAATTATGCGAGACGAAGTATCAAATTTGTTCATACAGAATGTTTTATCCTCCCTGGGACTATCTTTACATACAGGCTTTTCCATGCCACCTGTTGATTGATTTCCACAGATTATCCAGCGTGTGGTGTTCCATCTATTCGTTCAGATATTCCTGCTCCTCGAAATTGCCCCATCAGTGACAGAACTAATTATGGTGATGAGGCCAATGCTTATGAATTACTACCTTCAGTGAAAGAGAGTGTATGCAAGAGACTTTTTTAAAGCAAGACCAAAGGCAGAGGTATAGTGCATTTCTTCAGAATATTCTTCCAAGATAAATGTACCTCTAGGCATGTGGGAGTGGAAAGTCATATTATCAAACAAAGAGGTTGTAAAATTCATTGTTGCAACTTTACCATCTTTCTTTACATCCATTCAACTATCTGAAAAATATGTACTCTTCACTTTCAAAATGATTCGTAAAGATTGTATCTCAATAAAATTAATATCTACCCTCTTCACTTTCAAAATGATTCGTAAAGATGGTAGATATTAATTTTATTGAGATACAGCTTCAATAAGTAATATAAGGAAGTACGTCAAGTTGTTGCTACTCACGTGCTCAAATGCTGTGTCAAATGAGGGTTGATAATTAACCTAGGGCTTAAGAGTCTGTGACTCATCATTTCTGCAATGTGAGAAGAGCAAAGCAGTTGTGGAATTTCCATCCTTGCACGTACTCAAACTTCTGAGCAAGGACCCAAGCAACATGGTTTAATGGTAAAGTTAGCCCTGCTTCGATTATGTGGTTGGATGGATGATCTCCAGAGATCTCTTCCAACCTAAGTTATTCCGTGATTCTATGAGCAGATGTCTTGGAAAGCCCCACAAGAAGATTTTTGCAGGGGTGTAAAACTAATTTCTATCAGAGGGAGATGTTCAGTGGAAAATTTTACCCAAGGTGTCTCTCAAACAAACTTGCAGGTTTTGCTAATGTCAAAGTCAGTGAACTACTTGAATATACCTTTTCAGTGCTCTGCTGAGTCACGGTCATAGGCTCAGACCTACAAAGGATTTGTACAGGGATAGAGGATATAGGGAGTCACACGCCAGTGCTGTGCTGCCTCATATTTCTAAAGAGAAAGACAGGCTGTGGACTGTAGGAACTTATGTGCGGACTCTATGATTTTTCTATCTGATATCTCTGGGGCTGCTACCACTCTTTTGTCTCACAGCCCAGAGTTCCTCCCACATAAATACTAAACCAACTTTGCTTCTTCTTCAGTATTGTTTACTCTTTTGATTCTACATTTGTATGCATTTTCTAGTGGAAAAATATTAAGAGATAACTTCATTACCTGAAATACAATTTATGAGACAATTGTATCGAAATGTGAAATTACAATCTAAAATGAAAAAAGAAGCCTTGACAACCTCTTCCTCTCTACTAGTCATTATATTGAATACTCAGTTACATTTGGAAGTGGATCTGGAACTTGAGTATGTATTTTACAAAAAAGAATGTTGCTAGTTAGTGGCTGGGGATGTAAAAGGTGCGGTGTCATGTTCTATACATATCCATAAAATGACTTGTCAGAATGTTGTGTACATGAGCATTTACCATTTTATAATCTAGTTCTGAAGGAGGAAATCTGTGCATGCAGACTATAACTAACAGTAAACAGAATTCATGCTTCATTGAGAAGCCCATTATACCTGTCAAGCACTAGACAGAGCTCTTCTCTGAAGTTATCATGTGGTCTGAGATGTCGTACTCCATTGTAGACTATACAGGCTATACAGAGTTCAGTAAGGAGCGACCTCTGAGTGTGTTAAATCACCCTATACTCATGAAATGGACTGTTTCAGTATTTTAGTGATGGTCTTTGATTTATTTTGATATAGAGCATTAATATTTTCAAACATATAATAGTTATGAAATTAATGTATGAAAGCCCAGAGTAATTTAATACTACCAGATTTTATATAGACCTGTAGAAATTAATGTGAATTCTGACTATAAAGCAGTTTCATGAGATGATGACTCATGTTACAGAAGTACAAAATAGTTCTAGGACCTGCTGTTTTCTTCACTGGAATTCACCCCAGTCTACTGAAGAGAATAGAAGTTATGTAATTGAGTAATGACATGTAATTTATATTCAACATGATCATGTTGATAATAGGCAAGGGTCAGTTTAACCCTGGCTGCATACTTGGTAGTCTGTGATTTAGTCAGTGATTATTTTATGGCTGTTGATGAGGCAGGACAGAGTTGTATTTTAGTATGGTGAAGCAAAGTTATGAGAGCATGTAGTCCTTGCAGTGGTATCCTGTAATGCAATCTTGCTTTTCGTTTAATGTTTAAATTTCACTAGCTTGTTGAAGACATTAGATCAAATCTGTGTTGTTTTCCTCTTGAGTAATATTATTGATTTAACTGAAACACCACCTATGCTTAAAGAAACAAAATTTAGTCCATATTTTCCTTCTGTAATTTCAGCTGGCATAAACTGTCATAGATTTATTGGCTAAGATGAAGCTGCAGATTTGCTGTGCTGTGGATCAGGCCTATATTTATACAAAAGATAGAGAAAGATGACAAACAAGGTTGATTTGACTGTGTTAAAGGTCTTACTTTATCAACACATGCATAAAATCTCTGCAGCATAAATATAACATACATGTACATACACACAGGATACAGTTGAAGAAGCCAAACATTTGCTAATACTGACAAAAGCACAAGTCATGTCAGTATTCTTCTAAAGCCACCTTCCTCTAATGAGTCAACAGATCAGTGTAATGAGGCATGCAGCAGGAAGCATCCAAGTGACAAAATATGGAAAAAAATACTTCTCCTGAATTACTTTGGTGTAAAACTATAGCAAGACTCAAAGTTGATGTGAACACTTTCATTTTAGGTGCTTCACCCACTCACCTATACCACTTGAAGATCTGGCATATAGTATTCTTGCTGTGAAATGCAGCCAATAATATAATCTGATTTATGTCAATAACTGCAAACAGTAAAAATACAGTGGATAAACAGGACTTGATTTAGGGCTTTTAAAAAACATTTAGTTTTCCCTGAATCTTCTCTGTTTGATTTTTCCAATGTTGAAGTTGCATCAATATTACGTTATTAACTAGAGGCAATTTTGTACACCACGGCTTTCATTCCAGTAAGATTCAGATTTACTTAAATAGGAACTTCTTTGGTTAAGGATGCGGGATGTGGTCTGTAGTTTTTATTTAAGAGAGGGAAAATGTTCTTTGGCAGATAGAGATTGATAATGTATGTAAGAGCCAGACTCATATAGTTTAAAGAAAATGCTGACCAGAATTACATGAATTGTATTATTTTGTAGATTGCACAAGTTCTCTGTAACATTGATGTGAACATTTCAGATGAAAGGTTTGAAGAGATATGGAAGCAGGCCTGTATGAAACATCAGAAGGAAGAGGTTTGTGTAGAAAGCATCAGGACTGTACTGGATGAGGTACATGGATCACACACAAAAACTAGTTGCTAATTCTAGTCTTTGGGCATTGCATTTATTTAAATTGACATCAGTCAGAATTCTGATGCTGAATACAATAAAGAGTTTCAATACTGTGTGTTTACAGAACTGGAATTCACTGTTTATTGTCTTTATGAATAGTGGGTTCACCACATATATGTGAATCTTACTGCTGTCATTGCAGTTAGTAGGAGCTGATATCCAGAGGAATAAAAGAGGATGCAGCATGTTTGTAAATGGAATGCAAATATTTATCTTATATTCTTTATTTTATCTTTTTTTACAGTGTTTCTAATCTAAATAATAATACTTTGAGCATGGACACATTTTGCATTTCTGAATTCATTTTTTTCTCTTACAAGCAGAAGGACACTTTGGAAAGTAATTAAGATAAATGTTTCAGATCTGCAAGACCTCTTAAAGTTTATTATCATAGAACAGCATCTTGCCTTGCTTCTAATGTTCCATAATTTCTTGTCAACAAAATGGTAGCTAACGGAGATCTGGTTATGGTAAGTTACCTGACATGTTTAAAAATTCATGTGAGAAAGTGCTTTACAGTAAGATACTAAGAAAACTACATAGCCACGGGTGTGGGATCTAAAGTGTTGTCATGAGAGAGACTCCATAAGAACCAATGGATTAAGAAGTGCAAAAATAAATGCCCAATTGTGTGGCAGAGGGCTCGTATTCTTTATGCAAGCTTATGGCTATTAGGTAGTAGTATTCAGCTTTCACAGAAAAGAAAAAGAATGAATATTTAGAGGTGTATGTGCACATTGCATAAAAACACAGGCTAGGTAGTCAGAAAAGCTTGGGAGGGCTTTCAGAGAGCTAACTGTTCACCTGTGACCAATGCAATTTCTTGGGAAGAGGGATCTTCATAAATGAAAAACACTTGAGGATCATTATGGAGATCTCAATGAATATGTATGAAGTCCAATAAGAATAAACAATGGAAAGCAAGTAATACTAAAATCTGCAACTGAACTGGAATGTTCACTCTTCATCTACAGTACTGAGCTTTGTTTAAAACAAATGGAAAGTGTTCGGTATTGACAGTGAGAATGATTACTTTTAGACTTTTTCAAATTAATTGAAAAGAAAAATCCTTACCCAATGTAATCTTAACAGACAGGATTTCAGGAAGGACATCACTTTGTCACCTATAGGTGCTTTAAATACCTTACTGAGATTTGGAGGATGTTGCCAACAAAAGTTTTACTGACTTCTAAATGTGAGTAAAGGTCCTATGTATCTTAAATACTAGGAATGCATGTGTAATGCCAGCTTAAAATTTCACTGTAACACTTTACTTGCCTGGTTGTTAAGATTCGTCTTTTGCCAGTGTTCTAGGAGCTTGTAATTTACTAGCTTGTTATGTGAGATCCACAAGCCAGATCCTTTTGTACATTATTATTGTAGCATTAATAGTACTGCTCTCACATCCAGTAGAAAGAATTTGCTTTCTGGTGTCTCCAGGGAGCAGGTGGTGGAAATGCTGCTTGATGAAGGCAGCTTCTTTCCTGCTGTGAAAGAAAGTTGTTCTGTGCTGTTGTTGCCTTGCCTTCCCATCCTTCTGGAACTCTGTGTGTGCACTGGGAAGCACACAGGAAGCAGACTGTGAGTGTCCCTAGTGAAATCATGACAGGAAGATGAATGTACTGCTAATTTCAGTTGAATTTATTATGTCAGGATTTCACTACCTCCAGTGAAATTCTCAAAAAATTCTCTTTTGCTTATGTAAGGTAGGAGGGAAGAACCCTTTACCTTTGTTGCAGTGTGCTTCCAAAACCATTGGACAGAATTACTTAAAAAAAAAAAAAACATATTTTTTTTTTTCCTTCAATAGAAAATTTTAGATGAAAGATTTAAGCTCATTTCAGGGAAAAATGAAAAAAAAAATTTACCAGATTTGTGTGTGTATATATATAAGATCTGTTGTGTTTGTTCAGCAGCTGGAAATTCTAGTTCTGATTTCTTGAATCTACTGTAAAGATACCCACCTTCATTCCCCTACTTTCAGTAGAATCTTTTCCTTTGTCAGTAAAATGGAATTAATGTTGGGCAGTCTGCTAAGTAAGTCCAAAATAAAGGTGGCTGCTAGATCATGGTTTAGTTTTTTGCCAGTATGTTTCTAACCACAGACTAAAGGTTTCCTTTTGAGCTTGGGCTTGAAAGGAACTGGAAGTGGTGTTCACCTAAAGTTACATTTTCCGAAGCATTAAAGGATTCATCACTGAACAGAGCTGTAAATTCTACTTTTATAGGTGCTTGGTTTTCATCACAGTATATATAGGAGGCCCCTGAAAGATTTCATCGCTGTGGCACAGTTACTTCTGTGGAGTTTCCCAATGCTTTTGTTTCCTTTTGTTAAATGCTTTATGCACACAGAGTGTTGGTGCAGATTTTTGTATTTAATTTCTGTTTGACTTCCCAACATGTGCGAATTTGATGACATATTTATAGGCTTTAGAGCTGCAAGTTGCGTTCTGTGATTTTTATGGTTCCCTTAATATATTCCAATTGACAGAAAATAAAAAGTTTGCTTTCTTCTATATTGCAGTGTGATTGCCTTTATCTAGGTATGGAGTTGATTTAACCAGGACAGCACACTGCCTATTGCTAACCTGTGGGCCATATCCAAGGCACAGTTTTCCAGAAAGAGTTAGCAAAACAACCTTCACTATGACTCAAAAGCCATGTGTTCTAAAAGCAAACATTCAAATTTAGCGCCTGAGTGAATTTATTCTGTTAACAGTGATATTACAAAATCACAGCAATTGTAAATGTGTTGACTGAGGCTTTGCAGACTAAACTAGTAAACAGCAAATCCTGACAAAAAGAAATACTTCAGTAAAAATCAGCGAGTTGTAGACATTTTGGGCCAAATTTTCTTCATCGAATTTTCATAAAAATAGACACTGGATAAAAGACACAGCACTCTCAGATATTTGCGCGCTATTTCTCCATTAATCTCTGTTTCACTACAACGATTATACCAAAGAATAGCATATATAATAATTAATGCATTTTTAATTGGTTCTGTCAAATGAATTGAACTCCTCTTAAGTTCATCTTAGAGCAGATGCATTAGTTTCTAAGGACAGAGCGGGGAGGTCTTCCTTTCTGCAGAGGCAGAGGCCAGTGGTTTTTTCTCCCCAAAAGCCACACCAGCGATCCTGACTTTCAATACCTGAAAACACGTACCTGTAAAAGATGAGGCTGAAGATTTGAATGTGTAAAATTATTTGTTATTCGTTCTATATTTCTGGCTTTTAATCTTTAGAATGGGAGTATTAGCAGAGGTAAGCGTACAGCTAATGTGACTTATTTGGCAGTGACTTGTGCTATGTAAAGCAGATGTTGGACTCGTTTATGCTGTTTACTGTTATCTAATGGAAAAACTTTTCTGTGCAATGACTTGTGTTTGAGATGCTGGAGGATCCAGCCCACTGTCTTCCACAGAAATGTATGTACAAATAAATATAGACCTTGCCTTGATATTGTTCCTGCATACTTTAATATAAGTCTTAAAAAGATTAAGTATTTTTTTTCAATAAATTAAAAATTGCCTGGTTTCAGTGATTTACCTGACTCAAGTAAATTTCTTGGAACTCATTCTTAGAAGTGAATGGCCAGTTTTGTTTGGTTGGTTGCTTTGGTTTTTAAACAACTGTATGTAATTATGTGGGTGTTAAATAGAATGCTAATAACCCTTTATGCTAAGAAGACGACTTCAAATGGATGTCTAAGCAGAAAAGGAGATATGGGGGCAAAGTGCCCAGAAACATGGTTTAAGTCTTAATCTTGCCAACAGATATGAACAGGTAGGATGTTTTTGGAATGGCTTATACAGCCTAATTAGTTGGTGTTTGTCATTAGGAGGTATTTCTTTGGAAACTAATTATTTGCATTTGACAGTCTATCATCTACCTGTGTGGTGTCACCTCGCTGAATGGCCAGAATGCTTTTCTAGTAGATTGGTATGAGTTTAGGTGTGCCAAAGCAGCACTTAATGCTACATGGCTGAGTACTTGGAATAGGATATATATTTCTTTATTAGTCTTTAAAACTATATTAATTTTGAAAATGTCTGATTTGCTAAGGTAGGTGTTGATTTCTGCCAAATGTGTGCAGCCTCTCTGAGCAGACTGGAGTAGATAGAGAATTTGTGCACCCTGGGTCCACATTCCTGACTTCCAAATGTCACAACCATGGAAAATTTATATTCCTCAGGACACAGGTATGTGCAGCTATGTTCTGAAATTATACCCTAGGAGATTAGGTGGTAAATTCTATAATACCTAAATAGTAAATCTTTGGTATGTTCTGCATGTTTTCAAAGCTTACTCCTCATTCCACTGCCTAGATGTAAATGAAATGGCAAACCAAGACCTAATTTGAAGAGGAGGGCCTGAGTATTGCTGACAGATTTTATTCCTGTGGCTTTTGTTAAGTATCTGTTGTTCTAGTAATAGGGATCATATGTTCTGCATCTTAAAAAAACAAAAGAAAACAAAACAAAAAGAAAAACCCAAAAACCCCCAAAAACCAAAACACAAACAGCTTGCGTGGGGTGTATACTTACTAGGTAAGGTTCTACCACACCCTCCGATCAAAAGCAGACAGAGTAGCTTAAGAACACATACTTCTAGAAATAGCTTTTCTATAAGCCTTGAAATTTTCTGCAGATTCTTGAAAATGTCAAGTATTTCTTTGAATCTGAGGTGAAACAAAGGGCTGAAATAAGAGCAGAAGGGTTTTCAAATGGTACCAGTTAGTCATGGAGTGATTTTATTTTCCCAGCAGTTTTCGACAGATGATAAAGAGAGATATACACAATCCCATGTGAATACTTTACTAAAAGTGTGGCCCCACAGTGAGAGACAAGGCTGAATGCATAACAAAATTTACGGCTGTTTTTTGCTAGCGAGCAATGAATATAACATAAGAATGTAAAGAGTGTCTGTACAGGG